ATTGGATAAATTGACTCTTATATCTGTCTTCATTTTGAAATTCTTAATTATCGTTTGAATTCTTTAGAAAGACACATCGCCCTAAATTATCCAGTTATTTCGGCATTTCTTCTCCTACATCAATCCTCCTTGAAAGTAGTATTGTTCTGCACGCAACCATCCCCACGCGCATAACCTGTGGGTGTTTTGATCTGGAGACTGTTATCGTTGACCTTTTTCAGAAGGCTCTGTTCATCGATGCAAGAATTTTCTGAGCTATACGCTGATCTTTATTGAAACAAAACCACAAACTAAACTATTAAGAAACAGGAATAGCATCATGGACGACAGGATCTCGTGAGAGATATTGCACACGAAATAGAACCATTTGGCTAGCTTTGTGATCAAGTGGTAATAAAGATTTTTTTTCCTCATAATTTGTTCAGGTTCTCTGTCTGAGAGAGCGGAAAATTACTAACACCAGTTCATTATTCTGCAGTGTCTTCTAAGATTGTACTCATTGATAATATATGTTTTGGTCATTAATGGATTGTGTTGAGATTCATGGAACTATTTTATCTATAATCAGTATATTCATGGATTGGCTGCTCGAGGAGTACATTACTTGCATCGGCCCGGTCCAATACTCCAGGACATGGGATTTATGGCCCTTCCGGTATGTCATCTGCTTATAGTTCAGTTCATATCATTTGGAAATACTTGATGCTGATTTATTTGGACCACTGGTGTCATTTCTCCGTGTTTTTAGGAGCTCGGGCAAGACAAAGGTTATCTTAGTGAGACTGTATTCACTTCCATCTTCCTTTCATTTCTGTTGGTAGGTGACTTGTTCGCTCCACTGTATGTTGATTGACAAGATTTTAGCATCCCTTTTCTTTACTTATTATGTATGATGATTTGACCTGGTATGATGTATCCAAAGACGTAAAAATGTGGGGAAAAAAACAACCACCAGCTAGTCTTAGCAAGCAACCAACACACTGTTCTACTCTGGCGCAGGGTGCTTGCATTTTTAGTCATTCCTTTGCCTTGCTCCTCTCTGCATCTTCTGGACAATTTTCTTTCTGATGCTAGTTTTCTTATAATGCTTGATAATATATTAGGATTGCGAGTTTTGACAATTTATTTGTGGTATTGCAGTGGAGTTTTCACCCTTTTGTTTATCATAGCAAACGTTTCTACACTGTTCTACTCTGGCGCAGGGTGCTTGCATTTTTAGTCGTAAGTATGGTTGTCCTAACTCACAACTTCCATAATTATATCCATGTCCCAACCAGTGACACTTTTCTCCTCCAGGCTTCACAGTTTTTGCGAATTATTACATTCTATTCCACTCAGCTTCCTGGCCCAAATTATCACTGTCGTGAGGTAACCTTAAACTCTCAATCTCATTGTAGCTAAAGCATACATACATGCTATCTATCACCCGCAAGAGCTTTGCACGAAGGCCTTACTGAATCCATTTACTTTGCTTTTACAGGGCTCAAAATTGGCCACTCTTCCACCACCCAAAAATGTTCTTGAAGTGCTCCTAATCAACTGTAAGCCTTTCATTTGGTGGATTGAGTGTTCTGAGTGGAAGTTTTATTGACTCATATTATTCTTTGCAGTTCCTCGTGGAGTGCTTTTTGGCTGTGGTGATCTGATATTTTCATCACACATGATCTTTACTCTTGTGTTCGTGCGTACATACCATAAATATGGATCAAAAAGGTATTGAAATATCTTTGTAGGTGTTTGTGCTTGTAACATGTGCATTTGATTTCGCATAGGTGGCATGCCAGCTCATGCCCTCACATGCTCAAGTATAATTGGTGGATCTTATTTTTTAGGTTGATTAAGCTATTTGCTTGGTTGATGGCCATCATCCAAAGTCTTCTTATCATTGCTTCTCGCAAGCACTACACTGTGGACGTTGTTGTTGCTTGGTAAGATCAAATTCCATTTCAATAGTATGATTATATTGCCATAAGCCTTTCTTTTTGACTGACCCTCTCTCCACAGGTATACTGTCAATTTGGTTGTATTCTTTGTTGACAAGAACCTCCCAGGTACCCTTAGTTTAGCATCTTGAAATCAAATAGGATTCTCTGTATGATGCATTTTGTAAAAAGCTTCGCCGTAATTCTGCAGAAATGCCGGATCGTACAAGTGGGTTATCTTTGCTTCCAGTAAGCACAAAAGATAAAAGTGACAGGATGAAGGAAGAGCTCCACAAGCCCGAGAAGGATAACAAAATGAAGGACGAACACCATAAGTTATTGAATGGAAACAACGTTGATTCTACTGATCGGGTATTATATATAGGCTTTTGATGTGCACGTTGATAGTTCATTCACATTTCACTACAATTTGCAGTTAAAATACAACATGTCATAACGCCTTTTCTTTTTTCTTGGGAGTTAACAGATCATCGTATGTTGAAACTTCGTTTGTAGATGTAGACAATGACATCTAGCTGTTTTTCGCTGTTTTCTTTTTGACGCGTTTTCCTAATCTGTGTTTTCCTGATCATTGCAGCGACAATGGATGCCGATGAACGGAAAGCATGGGGAAGACATGAACCACACGCTCTCTGATGCCGCACCCAACGGTACATGATCAGCTGCTTTTCTCTCGGTTGCTTGTCTTTCACATCTACAGGACAATCTGCCAGTCGGGAAAAAAAGCTCCTACTACTTCTGCTGGAGCAGTCCCACTGTACTGAACTAGGCAAAGGCGCTGAAGTAGTGAACGACGCTGTAAAAGAACGGAGCCACAATCTCGTGGCTTCTCTCAGGCAGGTTGCCCCGTGGGTCGGCCTATCCGATCATCGATTCTGTAGTTTCGCAGTTTTAGATGTCGGGGATGCCAGAAACACCTAGCAAAACATTGAAAATCTGTTCTCGGTGTACATAACTATTGATGTATTTGGTGATTTTTTTTTAGTGTTTACTTGTGTTGGCATGAACGAATCTGCTCCGGTTGGTCGTCCCAGCCGACGCGCGTGGCTCATTTGAATGGCCGGGCGGATGGAATGGCCTGACCTGGCTGGGTCACGGTCACGGGAGACGAGAGCTCCTGATCACGGACATGCCGCCGCTCGCTCGCTCGCTGTAAAGCAAAAACGCGTGCACGACGCCATATACCACAGCTGCGACCATCATGTCCTGCGTGTGGTGTGCGCACTGAATGATGACATGTGCAGCCTGCAGGTGGCTGTGGCTGATCCAGCCTAGCGATGATGGCATCGTCACCGCTGTCACAAAAAGTGCAAGGGGGTGATTGCTCGATGGGGAAATTTGGTGTGAAATTTCCATCTCCCACACGAGCACTTAACCCTAGTTGATATTCAAACAACGCTCGACAAGTCCAGATATTTGGTTCAGATGGGTGAGACGGGTGGTTGATCGATCAACAGATGGATGAGTGAAGTCTGTTTAAACAACGACCCCTCGATCAGACTGTTTTATAAACAACGGCCGCTCGTTGATCGAGGGGTCAATATTCAAACAACGCTCCACAAGTCTTTTTTTTTTCTTTTTGCGGGAAAACATCGATCTATCCATCTTCAATTATGGAAGTACAACAGACACCAGAAACACAAGTCTAGATACAGGTTCCGAAATGGAGGTGGAGAATATCTGATAAGCAATCAACACAACACTTATTCAAACATTGCTAATAATATGAAACAAGCATGAGCGAGCTCTTCTGCATTTCCCGCGCTAGGACGTTGAGTTGTAGTCCTTGAGGGCGGTGGAGTCCTTGCACGAGAGCATGAGTTGAAATTATTTGGCTTTTAGCTCATTTACTATTCCTAATAGTAATTCCTTACGTTGGACGTGCTTCTTCTTCCTTCACCGGTGGACCTCATTGAGGTTGAATTGCCATTATCATTTGAGGAGGTTTGGAACACAATCGAGTGTCTTCCCTCCGATCGCGCACTAGGGGCCTACTGATTCGCTATCCTTTTCTATCCGCTTGTTCGGCAATCATCAAGGATGATGTGATTGCGGCAGTCGACCAGGTGTTCCGCCTTGTTGGCAGCTTGCTCCACCTCCTCAATCAGTCGTTCCTAGTGCTCCCCCGAAGAAAGATATCATGTTCGATCCGTGCGATTTCCGCCCCATAAGTCTAACTCACACCTCATCTCTGTGGGATCCCTTAAGTAAATTTCCGCCCCGAAGAAATCTCACTAGCCATGAACACCTTGCCATCAGAGATTGCTTTCGACATAATCATCATGGGCTGCTGGGGATTATGGTCGGTCAGGAATGACAAAATCTTCAGATATGCATCACCTCATCTCAATACATGGAAGTTCTACCTCAAAGAGGGTTTATGAGCTTTAGAATTAAGAGCTAAACCAAAGAAGGCAGACAAGATCAGGACCTGGGTTACTCACATGTTAGGACCAGAATAATTATGTTTATTTATGTTTCCTAGAGCGGGCATTGGTTAATCTATATTTGTGACTTTGTTTTTGTACTTTTATTATATATGAAAATACCGTGGAACAAAACAATTGTTCTACGGTTTTGGCTAAAAAAAAGTCTAATCCACAACTTCCCGAAGATCCCGACCAAGCTCCTCGCCAATAGCCTTGCGCCTCGTCTTCCCGAGCTAATCTCGATCAACCAAAGCGCCTTCCTCAAAGATAGATCCATCCAAGAAAACTTCTTGGTCCAACAATCGGTCAGATTTCTACACTGTAAACAAAATCCCTCCTCTCTTTCTGAAGCTAGATATATCCAAGGAATTCAATTTTGGGGCGGAAGTCACACAGGTTGAGCGTGACATCTTTCTTCGGAAGGAGCAATAGGAATGCCTCATTGAGGAGATGGAGCCAGCTGCAACGAGGCGAAACACTTGGTCGACCCCCGCATTCACATCATCCTTCATGATTGCCCAACAAGCCGGATAAAAAAGGGCAGTGAATCTGTAGGGCCCTGGAGCACGATCAGTGGGAAGGCACTTGATTGTGTTCCAAACCTCCTCAATCGAGAATGGCAATTCAAACTCAACGAGGTCCACGGTGGAAGAGGAAGCGCATCCATCGTAAGGAATTACTAGAACTAGTTAAATGAGCTTTGCTTCTTGGCCTTTCCTCTTGGAAAGTCCCCCAACAACGCGGATTTGGCTACCGATGGACAAACTTGATTACGGTTCTCCTCCGCATGTAGTCCTCATGAGTCCTCATTAACGGGAGCCCCTCGGACTACATCGACCATGCCTGGGGTCTTCGCCAAGGAGATCACATCTTCCCCTTGTTTTCCTCCTCGTCTTGACATTCTTGACACCCTCTTCCGTCAGCTCGACCAAGAGCGATTCTAAAACCCCTCTCGCCTTGGGGTATCAAGCACCATGCCTCTCTCTTTGTTGATGATGTGGCACTATTCCTCGGCCCCTCCAGGTGCGATCTTCGGCAGCACACGCACCATTCTAGAGCTCTCTGGTGGTGCCTTTGGCTTGTGTATAATTCTAGGCAAGAGTGCTATCATTCCAATTTGATGCCAAGACATTGACCTTCTTGATCTAATTTCAAATTTCCGTTGCCAATTTTCTATGTTCTTTATAACTTGCTTTGGCCTTCCCCTTTCTCATTCTCGTTTGCAAAAGGCGGATCTTCATCCTCTTGTCGCTCGCCACACACCTGCCCTCATAGAAGACTTTGTTTCATCCCAACGAGTGGACGAAATGTTATCCTCAACGGGGTCACTACCATGGGAATTTATCACATGCTGGGTCTGGCGAGCTGGCGAGGTCATCGGCGTTGGGGGGTCGTTGGAGAGAGGGGGTAGGCGGATTCTCTCATGCGCGATGTTGGTGCGGCTCTGGTGCGCTGACATGTGGGAAAGGAAGGAAGAATTGAGGTGGAGGAACAAGATGACATAGGTGGCAGATCTGACGGCTGTCCACAACAATATTGTGTGGCTGCGGTGCGGCCGACCCAAGCGCGCCAGCGCCAATTAGTGCCCTTGTGCTAAGAGATCGTACCTTGAATAAGAGAAGATAAATATTTTCTTACGATTTCTCTTTCCTCCATCTTAACATTTATTCTGTGTGACACTTCTAAGATAGCACCACTCTATATTCTAAGTCCAAACCTGAATTTAAGCAAGTACTTACACAAACACGGATCCTCTATTTGCGGATGTCCGGGCATATCTTTGGAATTCAAGGCTAGCACTAAAAACGTCTCAATCGTTGAATTAAATCTTATGGCTAAACTAAAAATCATTGTGTCTCAATCTTCGGATTAGATCTTGGGTAAAGATCACTACGTCTCGATCTTGGAATTAAATCCTGCGGATAAAGTGTACAAACCTTTGTAGAGTTTTAAATGAATCATTTAGCCGTGTTTCTAAACAACAACAACAACAACAAAGCCTTTAGTCCCAAGCAAGTTGGGATAGGCTAGAGGTGAAACCCATAAGATCTCGCAACCAACTCATGACTCTGGCACATGGATAGCAAGCTTCCACGCACCCCTGTCCATAGCTAGCTCTTTGTCGATACTCCAATCCTTCAGGTCTCTCTTAACGGACTCCTCCCATGTCAAAATCGGTCGACCCCGCCCTCTCTTGACATTCTCCGCACGCTTTAGCCGTCCGCTATGCACTGGAGCTTCTGGAGGCCTGCGCTGAATATGCCCAAACCATCTCAAACGATGTTGGACAAGCTTCTCCTCAATTGGTGCTACCCCAACTCTATCTCGTATATCATCATTCCGGACTCGATCCTTCCTCGTGTGGCCACACATCCATCTCAACATACACATCTCCGCCACACCTAACTGTTGAACATGTCGCCTTTTAGTCGGCCAACACTCCGCGCCATACAACATTGCGGGTCGAACCGCCGTCCTGTAGAACTTGCCTTTTAGCTTTTGTGGCACTCTCTTGTCACAGAGAATGCCAGAAGCTTGGCGCCACTTCATCCACCCGGCTCTGATTCGATGGTTCACATCTTCATCAATACCCCCATCCTCCTGCGACATTGACCTCAAATACCGAAAGGTGTCCTTCCGAGGTACCACCTGGCCATCAAGGCTAACCTCCTCCTCCTCACAGCTAGTAGTACTGAAACCGCACATCATGTACTCGGTTTTAGTTCTACTAAGCCTAAACCCTTTCGATTCCAAGGTTTGTCTCCATAACTCTAACTTCCTATTTACCCCCGTCCGACTATCGTCAACTAGCACCACATCATCCGCAAAGAGCATACACCATGGGATATCTCCTTGTATACCCCTTGTGACCTCATCCATCACCAATGCAAAAAGATAAGGGCTCAAAGCTGACCCCTGATGCAGTCCTATCTTAATCGGGAAGTCATCGGTATCGACATCACTTGTTCGAACACTTGTCACAACATTATTGTACATGTCCTTGATGAGGGTAATGTACTTTGCTGGGACTTTGTGTTTCTCCAAGGCCCACCACATGACATTCCGCGGTATCTTATCATAGGCCTTCTCCAAGTCAATGAACACCATATGCAAGTCCTTCTTATGCTCCCTATATATCTCCATAAGTTGTCGTACCAAGAAAATGGCTTCCATGGTCGACCTCCCAGGCATGAAACCAAACTGATTTTTGGTCACGCTTGTGATTCTT